TTCAGTCGAAGTGAGCCCTCAAAGAGTACTCTCACTGCTTTTCCAATTGACGGCCAGGCTGTCCTATAAAGACGAACAGAAATTGCGTCTGCTCCAGGTGCTTTATTTTGGCAGGACGTTGTGACCCACTTGGCTACTTCATCGGTGACGCTTGAGATCCATGGAAGGTTTCCGAGCCCAGGCTCGAGGTTCTCAGCCTCGACGTCGTTCTGACCGCTGAACCGACCGAGAAGTAGGTCACGCAGCAGAAGTGCACGCTTTCCTGGGTCCGAAAAAAAACCATCCGGAGTTCGGAGTGGTGGAGTAGAAGATGTAGGTTGCGGCTTTGCCCAACGTGTCATCCGATACATGTCAACGTCGGTTGTGGCATCGGAGAACTTTGGCCGCCAGTATTGGCGTTTCGCGCTTCTGACTATGCGACGGAAATCCTTTCTGCTCTTCTCGTCCCTAAATATCTTGTATTCGCGTTTGGCCTGTACGCACTCTATCGTCCACCAAGGTGCCGTCCTACCCTTCTTCGCACTCCCGCGTCTTCCGGTAGCCCTGATTGCATCGCCAATTGTTTGGACCAGCTTATCAGCGAGATTGTCTACCGCGCTTATGGAGTCCAATGGCTTTAACCCTATTCCATGGGCCCACCTACCTAGTACCTTGGCGAAGTCTTCGAGGGCGTCGTCTGTCACTCGCATCGGTTGGCCAGTTTTGATAACAGCTCTGGCTTTCGAGTTCGGGCGGGGAACGTCTCCTGCAAGAGTTCTGTGATCCGATGTCGAGTCAAGCTCCATCGAAATATCTGCAAGGGCACCAGCGTTAGACCAGACTAGGTCGAGTGAATTTCCGAGATCATGTGTCAAGACGCCCGGTGTAGAAGATAGGTCCATGCTATACTCGAACATCCATTCAGTGAGCACCTGGTTGTCGCCGTGTAGCCTATTAGCCATTGGCTGCCAGTCAGGGTGAACGGAATTGAAGTCTCCATCAATAACTGTAGGCCCAGATAAAGCCCATGATAGCAGCGGCAAAAGGTCTGCTCCAGAAGCGTGGTAGACGGAGACAAATGTGACTCTTTCTGCCGTTATTGCGGTGAGATCTAGTGATGTCTCACAGATTGCTTGCTGTTGGCAATTGATCCCTTTTCGCGTGTAGATGAGGGAGCGTGGCCTTGAAGAGTTAGCAGCGACACAGGGAGGCAAATGCCTATCGAATCCGGGATGCGACTTGGTGAGCCAGAAGCCGTCCTTACGTTGGGTCCAGGGTTCCTGGATAAGTAGGACATCGGTTCCTGAATCCCAAGCGGATTGTAGGATGATGTCCGTAGCTGGGTCTCCTCTGCCCAGATTAGCGCAGAGGAACGAGATCGTTGTTGCCGTTTTTTGAAGCTCGGTTGGGTTGTGGCCCCTTACGGGCATTGAGCAACGTTAGTAGTTTCGTTTTCGGCAGTCGCTTCGGTGGCTTTCTGCTTTGCTTTTATTACTCTGATCGAAGCATTGCGTTCCTTTTGACCTTGTTCGCGAATTACCGCCAGCTGGTCTCTTGTGCGCTGTACCGTTTTACCACCAACCCGCGTCGGCCTTGTCATGCAGTTAGGCTCGACGGCAGAGTGTGGTCCATGGCAGTTGATGCATCTCGAGATAGCCTGTTTGCAATTGGTGGCTTTATGCTCGGTAGAGCCGCATCGTGAACAGCGTTCCGCTCGCGAGCAGATCTTTGTAGTGTGGTGTCTCCAACATTGGTTGCATTGAGCAATTTTGGCTTGCGCTAGAGTTCGTGCAGCCGACCACTTTCTTCAAATATTCGTTCACCAAGCTTTAGTTTTCCTGTTGCATAGTGTAGCACCCAGTCTGTTGATGGCCTTGCCATGTTAGTCGCAAAAGCGCGGGCAGATGCTGGTCTTACGCCGGTTTTGAGGGTGGCTTCTTCGATCACCATTTCTGGTGACTGGCACTGGTCCCTCGAGGGTATATTGCCTGTCTGAAATATTGGGTGCAAGCACTGATATCCAATTGGACGCGGCTTCCAACTTCATTTCAGAGCTGTCTAGGGTATTCGCTCCTATCAGTAGCGCGCTTCTTGCTCCTTCCACGTCAGCTTGTATAGCAAATCCAGAATTCACGACTGTGACTTGTCTGATCGACGAGTTGGCCAGGCATAGTTTACTAGCCAGGCTTATTTTTGTGAAATGTGGAGACATGCGTCTCCACGGGTGATCGGGTTTGAGCCGTAAGAATACGCGCTCGTCAGCTTTTTCCTGCATCACTGCTGATGCCTTGGGTTTCGATGTGGGTGTGTGGCCAGTGGTTGTTTTTGTGGCAGCTGTGGTTGCTGGCTTACTCTTTTTTCGCACCAACTCTGTCCAGGATCTCTCGGGAGTCTGGTTGGTGGTTTGTTCTGTCCCATGGGTAGGGATTGGTGTTGCAGAAGCAGCCGGTGGTGTAGCTGCTCCTAGTCTTGTGTTTTCCCTGGCGAGGATCTGTACAGGACGCACGGCGCTCGCAATAGTCTTCTTCCTCGACTCTTTAGCTGTGTCGAGGCGAGGTTTGATGATGTGGTCACTAGCAGCTTGAGCTGGTGCTATGGCTTTGGGGGTGGCTGAATTGCCCCGCAGAATTTCTGTAATCCGGCTTTGAAGAGCCAAACCGGTGAGTTCGATGGCTTGTCGGAACTCTTCGTCTGTTGTCGATTCGAGCAGGTTACAGTACCCGCTGACGATGCGCTCTGCTTCCGCAAAACGTTCCTGGAAAGCCCTCGCCTGTTCGGCGAGAAAGTTGGTCATGTTGACAACCATGGGGTTCGTGCTCGGGTTTTTAGAGTGCTGTTGACTCGCGCAGCAGACTGAGTCTGGTGTGGTGTAGGCAGTAGTGTGTATTGTGGATCGTTGACATCCATTTCGACGTCCTGGCGCGTCGCGTGTTGGGTGGGGAGAGGTGGCCAGGAGCCAGCCACTGCGGAGGACTGGGGCGACATAGGTGATTGAGAAATGGAAGTGGCAGTAAGATGTCGAAAATGGAATGCAATATCGTCACTTTGGATTGCGAAAAATTGTGTGGCGAACAGCTGGTAATGGAGTTATGGTTGTGATTGAGTCTGTAAATGTGTCATAGAGAGTTCACTACAGCCGTGTGGACGGGCGACTCGTAAATTAGGCATTGTATTTGCTCATCTGGTACCACAATCAAGTGGTTCTTTTTTTGTATCAGATTTTTATTGCGTATGCAGCTATCTAGCTATGACAAAATATCAAAGAAAAGTACAGAGTAGATGATTCAACGTAAAGGAAGAGCTCTCATGCCTCGGATGTCATTTGCAAGAACTACTGCGAAGTTAAGGTGGCTTTTTCTTCACCCCAAGTCAACCCTTATCCGTGAATACCCACCCAGGGAAACGTCTCAGAAACCCTGAGTTATCCAGACATGCCTCCATCATCCATTATCTTTTCTCCGCGCGAAATGTGGTCTGAGGCGTCTCCTTCCCAAGTGGAGTAGGTGCCCAGGCTACTCGAATCATACCAGAGAACACCACCAGGAGACGGACCATGGCACCTTCCATCGTTTGCTTGTGTTTATTGTGTCAGCTGCACTCTCGCAAGCGAAGTCTTGGCGCGCACAAAGCTCAATTCGTGAAACTCCTTGCCAAAATTCGAAATTTCACGCCCGTCGATAATATATCCTTCCTTCGCATCATCTTGTCGACTTGTCCTGATCCCTCCCACGTTCGTCCCAAAGAACTGTCTCCCAGATTTGTGCGCCACGCTTTGCTTCCTCCGTCGGGTATAACTATCGTCGTGGTAGTGTATTGGGTGGTCAACTGAGACCAGAGAAGGTCGAAGAGAGGTGTAGTCATTGGGATGAGGATGTACTTGGTCGTACTTGTAGACTTGATGAGGCTTGGATAGGATTCTAACTCGTTGGGAGTAAAAAACGACGTGGATGAGTAATTTGAATCATTGCTTCGTGGGCCAACTTGTTCCATATTGCGAAATTTGACTGAACTTTGCTCTGGGAGAATATTTCACTCCCAGGTTTGTAGAGAACATCGCGCACAGGTGTTCAGTCTTGCCCTCCAATCAAGTAGATTGCAGCTCTGCCTTCTCTTATATTTCTTTAATACCGCGGCTATGACAAATGGCGCTTACATCTGTGCTTGAATTACACATACATCTTCTTATCCAATTGTGTATGTATTGCACTCTAGTTAAGTGATCCTCTCTTTGCGAAAATACTGCACTCGTTCGATTACGTATAGGTTTGAATGAATTGTAATACTGACATAAAATGTTTTATATTCTCGGGATTCTACCGTAATACTAATTTTTATCTGAAAGATATTCCCTTGACTATTAAAATATTGGTCAGGGACAAGTTTGTTGGTGTATGTAGGCTATTTTTCTCTGTATATGAATGGACTCAATGAAATTGCAAAGCCCATAATCGAGCAGAGAGATACAATCAAGGGTTTGTATTTGTAGGGGGTCATAATTTTCTCAGGAAGTGTACATGTACAATCTAGATTCAGGATTTGATAAAACAACTTATAGGTTATACTTATTCTGTTTTAGAAGGTCTGGTTTCACTCGGGGTTCGCATGTAGTTTTTGTACCAAATTTGTTTACGTAAAGTACAGATAGAATGTTTCTCTATAATACTTTGAGGTTTGAAAATCTTGAAAATCTAGTTTTAATTCATGCCGTAGGTCTCGAACACAACTGAGTTTGTTCTTCTGGTACTTTTAATTTATGGGAACTTGTTGGAATGGTCTCTTTTTTTCCATCTACATCAAAATCTATCTTAGTCGCATAGATGGTGTCAAATGTGATCGACCAAATAAAATGGACGCATCAGTGTTTTATGGATCTAGGTTATGATTAGAAACTTCCCTACTCGAACTCAAGGGATATCACTATTAAAATTGAGGGTCTCCACGCATAAATTTTCTGCCATTGTACCACCATTGGAGGCAATGTTAAGATCAACACTAAACTAAACAAGCCAACTCTATTTTTTCTAATTGTTTTCTTTACTGATGTAGTTTCGTTGGTTGAATAGGTACCCCTTGATTTTTGCGTCTTTTAAGAGTTCAAAGTATCGTTCTAAATTGGCCACGTCAGCTATCTGCGATATAAATATATTTTAAATTGATGAAGAACATTTAGTCATTCCTGGCATTCTATTATCTTGGTAACTCACCTCGTAAAGCACCGCATTTTTCTAGGTGATTGACGCCTTCACGATAATAACATCTTCCGAGCTCTTCGCGTACTAGCCTGGCCATCATGCTTCGTACCCACTGTTCGCGAATAATGGCATCCTGCGCTTGCTTCAATCTCTTCGTATCATTACGGTCGACACCATCAAAATTTGGGGGGACTGTTGGTTTTTTAGCCAAGAATGCTGCTGATTCCTGGGTGGGAGCCATAATAACAATAAGTGTGCAAACTCCAATATAGGGCTGTGTCTACAGATCGTATATTGCATTGGCTAAAGGGCTGGAAGCATAATCCTTGCAGCCATTAATTGCCATCATTACATAAGCCGCTAAAGCTCTTAGCGTTTGATTTATTTAAAATTTTCTGATTAGCGTGAGAATTTTTATTTAAAACTGTCCGCAAATCATCCCACACAGAATTCTTGATCCACAATCAATTATCTCAATTTTACTACGCATTCATCTTTTACCTCACCGTACTAACACATTTATTACATTAATAATGGGTAAAACCAAGTCATCTAAAGCTGATGGCAAGAGCAAATCGGAGTCAAAGTCCAAAGCACTCTCAGTGAAAAACGCATCCATAGCCAAACCTTCTCAGACTACTGTCGCGAAATCTAAGAAAATAGCGAAGGATGTCGCGTCCAAGGTCAACAACAAGACAAGCAAAAAGAGTAAGACAACAGTCACAAAAAAAGATACTACAACATCCTCTACCGATAGTGATAGCGATTCCGATTCAGACTCTAAAGTCAAGTCTAAAAAGAGTAACCTGAAAGTTAAAAGTAAATCAAAGAACAAGGTTACTTCTGACAAGCAAGACAGTTCGGAGTCTTCTGATTCTGAAGATAACTCTGATTCTGAGGCTGAGGTAAACCCCAAAAAAGCAGCCTTGACCAGTAAAACAAAACCTAATGGTACTGTAAAAAAGAATGAAGACTCCGGATCTGATTCTGAATCCTCAGACTCAGAATCCGAACCGAAAACTAAAAAACTAAATGACAAAGATGCAAAGAAGGTAAATGGCGATAAACATAAACCAACGAAATCTGTGTCTTCAAACTCGGAATCGGACTCGGATTCTGGTTCGGATTCATCTAGTTCTCTTTCTGTATCCAAGGCTCAAACCAAGAAGCCTATTGATAAAAGCCTTGGTACTAAGGTACAGGAAGTCGTCTCAGTAACTACTAGCAAAGAATCTAAACCTAAAACCAAGAAGCCTGAAGATAAAAAGGCGAACAAGTCGAAATCTGTCGACAACGTGAACAAAGAGAAGCAGACTGAATCATCAGAAGACTCCAGCTCTGCGGACGATACCGACGCTTCTGAGTCCGCTGAATCGGATAATGATGAATCAGACAGCGAATCAGACAAAAAAGAGGATAAAAAAACAGGCAGGGCAACCAAAAAAGATGCCAACCCTTCCAAGGAAGATGTAAGTTTCATTCAACATTGTCGTAGGACATGCTAAATTAATACCTAGGATTCTGAAAGCGAGGAATCTGACTCTGAAGCCAGCTCATCTGAAGAAAAGTCGGAGACAGAAGTCCCAAGTAAGAAACGTAAGGCAGATAACGAGGATTCGGCCCCCGCCAAAAAAGCCAAGAGCGATGGCGGCGACAGCGATTCCAAAAACCTTTTTGTCGGTAATCTGAGCTGGAACGTCGATGATGAATGGCTTTACCGTGAATTCGAAGAGTTTGGGGAGATCACTCGCGCGAACGTCTTAACAGACAAAGCATCGGGTCGGTCAAAAGGATTTGGATACGTCGAGTTTTCTTCAGCAGAATCTGCAGCTGCCGCTCTTAAAGCTAAAAAGGGTGCGTTGATTGATGGTCGTGAAGCCAACGTTGACTTCTCAACACCCCGCGATGCAAGTGCTCCCAAGGATCGAGCACAAGGAAGGGCTCAAAAGTTTGGTGACACCATGAATGAACCATCTGACACCTTATTTTGTGGCAACTTATCATTTAGTGCTGATGAGAACATGGTCGGTGAAGCCTTTGGGGCACATGCGACTGTTGTCAACGTGAGGCTCCCAACAGATATGTAAGTCGGATTACTCAATCCTGATCCCTGCTATCTAACAATTTATAGGGATAGCGGTAACCCGAAAGGTTTTGGCTACGTAACTTTTGCATCTGTCGACGACGCCAAGACTGCGTATGAGGCAATGCTCGGCGCCGAAATTGGAGGCCGGGCAGTGCGTCTAGACTACGCAACACCCAAACCTGATCGTGGAGCTTCTGGTGGGCGAGGCGGAGGTGGTGGTGGAAGAGGGCGAGGCGGATTTGGTGACAGAGGTGGACGTGGTGGCCGTGGTGGATCTCGGGGTGGTCCCCGTGGTGGTCGTGGCGGCAGCACTAATAGAGGAGGGTTTGGTGACTTCAAAGGTCAAAAGAAAACCTTTTAAAACCGAGTGGTCACCATAACACGGGCCAAACGCCTGTGAGAATGGGTAATTGTACGTGGGCCGAGGGTTCTTCAAAATTCCTCTTTGGAATAGTGGGCTTGGGGATAATATTTGTGGTGCTTGACATACTGTGGGTGCTGGCTCGTGGCTGTCCTTATAGGACCTAGCTTTTTGTTGTTTTTGAATGAAGCTCTCTATGGGCTCGAATTTCTCGGATCTTTGGTCTACCTCGACTATAAAAAGGCAAAAAAGACTCCCGTGGGACTGTTGGCATCAGGTAACACCTGAAAATGGTGATCAACTAACATACGTTCGCGTATTTATCACTCGGTAAGTACTCTCGTCCAGCTTTAGTTGATAACTGCAAACGGACTTGGATCCAACTTCTGTAAAATATAAGCTTTATTTCTAAATCGTTCCGTGGTATCCCAAGTCACACTGTCTTCCCCAGCAGAGACAACACTCAAACTCCTAATCCAAATTCAACCAATGATTATGTAACTGCCCCCTGAGCAAATAACATTATCTAGAGCTTCACCATCTACGTGATCACCTGACAAGCAGCCTTTCAAAAATACTTCCCAAGTTAATACTATCAGACCCCCGAGTTCATAACCTCTCACAACCCGCGACTACGTTAAGAATGAATCATGGTCTTCCAAGAAAATTGCTTAGACCCACCTTTTGATCTCGACGTCCCCCAAAACTCCTTTTCAAATCAAAATCTCTTTTACGATGATGTTTCTGAAAATCAAAACCCCGGCCCCATTCAACAGACTCTCCTCGAAGCCACTCAATTAGCAGCCTCGAGAGCTCGTGAAGCAGAAACTTTGTTTGGCTCATTAGCCAGATTTCTCGACGAACATTGTTCTTCTCACGCCCGCGCTATTTTACCAGAGCCTCAAGCTCAAGCCCTCCGTAACTGCACCTCAGAATTAGCAACTATTGCTGCTAAGCATTTCAGCGCATACATGCACGGTACCTCAACTATCGAGATATCTAGCCCTGTGAAGACAGCGAAAGTAAACGTATCCCAAAGCTACGCGGGTGCCGCTAAACGAGGCGCACAGAAGACCCCTCCCTCCACTAAGAAGCTAAATGCTCACATACGAACTGAAAACGCTAAACAGACGATTGATTATTCGTTCGCCTTCCATCCAACAGTTCTCTGCGCAACACATCAGGCTATGCAATACAGACGCACTTGAAGTCTAAGCTTGGCAGCCAAAGTAAACTTCTATCAAATGTTGTGTCAACAAAGACAGGATTTGCTCTCCGCCCGAGCGCTGGTAATGCCGATGCCTTAAACGAGAAACTGGAAACAGTTGATCTGTTTGGGACTGCTCCCATTGAGAAAGCCTCGCCTGGACGTCCTACAGGATTAAGAATGTCCCTCGATTCTACGGGACAACAAACCAAAACTTGCAATACTGCCTCGAACCAGTCACGATCGAGGCCGTAACAGCTGGTGTTGCTACAGCAGCTAGCGCTACCCCCATCTCCAAACTCTCGTCCCAGGATAATGAGACAAACCCAGACAGCCTAGATACAACCTGGATTGTTCGCTTTCCTCAAGAGCATAGCCGTCTTCCGCATATTCTTTTTCTCTTTGGGTGCAGCACCGTCACCCGAATCCTTCCTAAACGCTCGTCGGTAGTACAGTACAGGACGTGCTGGCTTTGGCACAATAGTCGCGCTTGTTCCTCCGCCCCAAGATGCCGCTTTTGTGGGTCCACCCAACACACAGAGAAGGTCCATAATAACCACTGCGCCGCACCGGCTGGACATACCTGCCCTCCGCGATGTGTGCACTGTCACGGCCCTCATCCAGCAGACGATCCAACTTGTGAGCTACGGCCACAATCCTCTAATCCTCCAAAGACAACATCACAGGTTGTCGCCATCCGGAAGATCTTCTCTGAGGCGCGCATCCGCCACCAAGCAGAAGCTGGATGCGTTAAGCATTCTGCCGCTCCGCAGGGCTCCAGCAATTCTTACACAGCACAGCGCACTAGCTATCCTGCAGTTTCCCAAGTAGCAGGACCATCAACACTATCTGCAGCCGCACCCAAGCGGACTATTTTGTTAAACCCTTTTGAGATCTTGAAGACATCGGCCGGGGCGTCAGATGAACAGATGGAACTTTGATAAGACAGAAGTCAACGTGGCAACCTTTCAACTTGCTTTGTACCAACTCATTACGTACTAACTTGCCCTCAAATTCGTGGGTATTGCGCTTACACCAAAGGGGTTTATTTTTGATTTTTAATTTTTTTTCCCTTATATATCTTTTATATCATTTACCATAATTGTATCTTAGTCATCAGATACTCTCTTATATTGTAGATCAGATCTCATGTCCCTAGGTTAGGGAGTCGTGGGCCTCCGACAACTGATGCAGTAAGCTTTGGCGTCCTTTTTCCATCTGTATTTTAGATAAGACGGGCATAGGCCCGTTTTTAGATAGACGTTAAATATAAAACAAACAACAAACTATCAGACCCCTGTTAAGACGATCCTCGTGAAGACGATATTTTTTGCGGAACGGACTTCGTTCCCGTACATTCACCGATCACTCGATTATAGTTCTTCAACCTTTGAATATCGTCTTAACCTGGGTTTTTTTGCTAGATTGGTGCTAACAATGCCGCCAAAAAAGGGAATTTCTGTAGATCAACGACGTGCTCTGCGACGATTGGCGCACTGCCAGGTCCCAAAACCAACACAAAAACAGTGCATTGAGTGGTTCTTCGCTGAGTACGGCCATCGATTAAGCCAGTCCATAGTCTCCGAG